ACCAAGCCATGGTTGGAGCAGCACAGCCGACTGCATAGCGAGGAGAGAGACTTAGATGGAGATTTTTATATTGTTGTGGCTCTTTGCTCTGATCCTTTGCTGCATAAAAGTGCTCTGGCATGTTCAAAACTCTCTCCTGCTGCAGTGAGACTCCGAAGCCTAGATGCCTCCTGATGTCCTTCAGAATTTGCTTAAGCAGAACTGATGGAATTAGTTTAACGACTCCGGGAAGAACAATACGTTCCCCCTTCCCAGGCTATCAGTAACACAGCGCTTTCAGATTGTGCCAGGACCACTTTTTTTTTTCTGCCTGCCTTAGCGGTTGCCCAGCGATGGCCTCTCCTTCTGCCTCCAAGGCCCAAACCCAACCCAAACTTCTAAAATAGGCTTTGCAGCATTTAGGAAAGAAAGCTTGAACTCAGCTGCCAACCAGAATGGGAAAAATGGACCTTCGTCCCTGGAAAAATAAGACAGCCCTGCTTTATTTGTGTGTTGGTTTGTCTGGCTGTTTATATCCCGCCTTTTATTATTTTTACTAATAACTCAAGACAGTGACATACCCAACAGACCTTCCTCCCCCCTATTTGCCCCACAATAACAACCCTGTGAGGTGGGTTAGGCTGAGAGAGAATGAATGGCCCAAAGTCACCCAGCCAGCTTTTGTGCCTAAGGCAGGACTAGAACCCACCGTCTCCTGGTGATTGGTCCAAAGTCGCCCAGCCTACGGTGAGACTAGAACTCACTGTCTCCCACTTTCTAGCCTGCTGTCTTAACCCCTAGACCCAAGCCACCTTGAAGCTGAAATCCTAACCAAAACCCCAAGGTCAAATCTTCACCTTCCCAAAGGTTCTCACATCAGTTCGAGGATGGGATCTGATCTATGCAAAGGTGTCTTTAAAAAAAAGAAGAAGTTTGAAATCCATGCACACAGAGAGAGGTTAATTACATGAGATCAAAACCCATGGGGCAAATTTCCCTTTGGAAACCTGAAGCTTGCATGTTTCAGGAATAAATAAAAGATTACGAGCCCCATTTAACTGCATTGAAGTGGTTCAACATCTCCTCATCTGAAGCAAAGCAAATTCAGGTCAGGCTGTCCCAGCAGAGCATGAAACAATATTTAGTTTTATTATCTACAGTTCTCAAATAAAAAGAGTCTGAGAATATATAAACAGAGGGATGATAACCAAGGGCTTGGTTTAAAGACTTCATTGCTTTCTGAAATTCTCTTTTAGCTCATCTTCTGAAACATCATGTGCCCTGAATTTGATTGACTGATGAACGTTGTGCCATCAAGTTGGCGTCAGATACAAACCCACGGATAAATGTTCTCCAGGAGGATTTGTCCCTAGCAGTGGTGGGATTTAAATATGTGAACAACCGGTTCTCTGCATGGATGCCGCTTCTGGAAGTCCATTCTGGGCCTGGGCAACAAAAAATTAGCTACTGGTTCTACCAAACTGGTGCGAATGACTGAATCCCACTATTGGTCCCTAGCTTGGTCCTTCAGATCTTCTATCAGATCTTCTAACAGGGCACTCATCACCACTCTAACGGAGTCCAGTCGCTCTTCTCTTCCTTTCCATCTCCCCAAATATTACAGACTTCTTCAGAGCTTGATCTTTGCGTAATGCATCCAGAATGTCAGCAATGCCTTGAGTTAGAACGGCTGGGTTGATGCATTTGACGATCCATTTGTTTGTTTTCTTGGTTGTCCCCGAATTTTCAGTCTTCTCAAACACCAAAGTACCAGAGGTTCAATATTCTTTCTATCCTGCTTTAGAGTCCAATTTTCACATCCAGTGCCCTGAATTCACACGACGTGGTGGTAAATAATGACAAACCATTCCTGTATTAAGAAAAATCGCATGATAGCAAATATGGATCGTGCACTGAATTAAGAGACTAGAGACCATCCACAAGAAAGAACGCAGGTTATCAGATGCTGCAGATATCCACAATTGGTCCCACAACGTGAGCCGATTTTAGGACTTTTTGTGCGTCCAGCCAGAAGCTTTCTTTCTTGCTCTGTGTTGCAGGTCTTAACAGTATTGTCTCTTTTGGATATATTACTTCCCTTCGCTTGTGACCTAGGAAATGGCCTTCTGATGATATTAACAATATGATCCAAGATTTGGAGAAAACACTTCTGCCCTTGAGACTACGAGCCAAAGAAATTTGGCCAGATGGCAGAAACAGGAAAAGATTAAGCAATGACTGGCTAATTCTGTGCCCACCTATGGAGTCCTGGCACCAAACCAGAGCCTGCTAATTTGTTCAAAACGGACGAGATGGCTGCTCAAAAGAGACCTTCAAAAGTCCGGTCTTTAGGGGAAGATTCTCTTTTGTGCTGATGACTTACAAACTCTTGAAAATGGCATCCATCAGGACTTCAACCCTAATTCCGAATTGCATCCTTTCTTGATCTTTTGGTTTATCAGTCGGAAGAGCCCGTTTCCTCGACAAAGGAGGAGGAGCCTCATTACCTCCAGGTGAGCAGTATCCCCCCTGCCAAAAAGACTTGGTCATTCTTTGGGGCAGGAGGTCAGCAGGGGAGCAGTGGGGTTGAGAGGAGTCCACATTGCCCCTATGGATGGAGTTGAGGAGATGCATAATGGGGAATTTTATTATTTTAACTGCCATGTTCCTAGCTTAGGACCAATTATAATGTTCTTTCCCACTTCAAGACGATGGAGATTCTTCTATGAGCTTCCAGCCATAGTGGGCAGAGAAGAATTCCTGCTTTGCAAGTTGCCCACCCTCAAAATGCAGCAGATGCCCACAAATTTCTTTCCTGACCAATGCTCAAGCTTCTTCCTTTTGCGTTGGCTTCTCTGAACGTTGCTAGTATCCCCCATATATGTTTCCATCCGATTCCTGCGGCATCTTGCTCCCAGCAGACAGCCCTTCCTTGGATGTGCAAAATCAGACGTGTCCCTTGCATCAATATTTGCCCTGAGAACATGGCTGGAATAGCAGCCTAAATTTGCAAGGGAAGCTGGAAAATGGCACAGATCTGTACTGTGCATAGTGGATTTTGATGAGGCTATGAGAGGGGAGGGATGGCGTGGTGGCTCGGCGGTTAAGACGCTGGGTTTGTCTGCTGGAAAGCCAGCAGCCTGGATTCAAGACCCAAGCACCACGCAAGGGGTGAGCTCCTGTTCTCATCTCAGCTCCTGCTAACCTAGCAGCTTGAAAGCATGCTAGCATGAGTAGATAAATAGGTACCACTTCAGTGGGAAGGTGACAGTGCCCCATGTCATCATGCTGGCCACATGACCTTGGAAATGTCATTGGATAGTGTTGGTTCAATGGCCTTGAAACGGAGATGAGCACCGCCCCCTATAGTTGGCAACGACTAGCAGAGTACAATCCGCAGGGACTCCTTTACCTTTTATATGAGAAGGGAGAGTCCACCTCACATTACGGTTTGAACCTGGCAGAAAAGGGTCTTATTCCATCCATTCATCATGCCCAAACAAGAGAAACCTTGACGGGCAAAAAGGCCCTTCCTTGGGCTGTTACACCTTATCCCAGGCTGTCTTCGCAGAGCAATATATGACATTCTCCAGAGCTTTTAAGGACATCTAGCAAACTGTCATATCTTCTGGCCCAGACAGGTGTTAGAAGTAAAGTCTTTTAATTTATTTTTTTTATCTATAATTCTCTGTCTCTGTTTCTTTCTTAACTGATAAGCCAGCCATCTCCCTGGTTTATTAGCATTACAAAATGTATTTTGTTTCATAAACATTAAATTAGTTGCAGCTTAATAATAAATAAATAAGCAAACATGGCGACTGCTTTGGGAAGAAGGTTACAGTTTATTGCAGAGAGATGGTTCTTCAGGAAAGTGCAGAGGAGAGAAGGGGCTGAGCACATGGTGTAGTAGGTTTTTATACCCCCTCTAGCCTTTTGTTTGGAATGGTTTCCTGTTCCTGTGGCATGAATCTTGTTTCTGAGTGTTTGTCTAGGCCTTGATATCTGTGGTTTAATTCTATTATCATATCCTGCTTCCCAGGTGATGGGGCTAATGGCTCCTAGAGTTTGGGTGGGGTCTGCAGATCTTCTCTTTTGTCTTCTTGATTGCTCTGGCTCCAACTTTCTGATGGTTTTACATCTGCATTTGTATGGGCCTAGCTCTTGCTTGGGGCAGAGAGATAGATTTGGGGCCAGGTTTGGTTTTAAAAAGTCCTTTTGAGGAAAAATATATTTTTTCTGCCCTTTTTAATATTTCTTTCTCTGGGCTAACTTCCCTCACAGGTAAACCTTTGCAGGATTCGGTTCTTCTGTATCAACCCTCCGTTGGAACCACAAAGTCCGGCACCGCAGCCAAGTAATAAAAGAAGCCACCAACAAGTGGGTCCGTTTGTGGCCTGCCAGATTTTGGCTGCAGAACTGTGACCTCCCCGAATATTCTTGCAGCCAGCAGCAGTGCGGTAACAATCCAGATGTGGGTGATTCATCCAAGGGAAGCAGCTGTTGTAGCACACACAAGCCAGCCAAAACAGAGTTTCCCTCTTGCTTTAGAGGGGATGCAGAAAGTGCCAAGACGACCTGTGTGTGCTTCAGATTTAGCACACCTGGTTTGCACTTCTCTCCTCTTGGGGCTCACGTGGGTCCCCCCTTTCCTTCTTAGAAAAGAGGGAGGGAAGGGAAGGGAAAAGGAGCATACAGACAAGGAAGGAAGGAAGGAAGGAAGGAGGAAGCAAGTAAGAAAGGAAGTAGAGAGTCAAGGAAGGAGGAAAGAAGGAACAGAGTGTCAAGGAAGGAAGGAGGAGAGAAGGAGCACAGAAGGAAGGAAGGAAGATCAGAAGAAAGTGCGCGGCCGGAGCTCAGCGCGCGCACGCTTTTGAGTCCGGCCGCGCGGGCGCGCCCCCGTGCACCGAGCCGTCTCCGACGCCCACGCGTGGCTGGCTTTCCCCCCATCTCCCCCCTCCCCGTCTCCCCGGCCGGGCGCGCGTCGGTGCCGAGGCGGGCGGGGGCGCGCGCGCGCGGGGGGGGGCCCTAAGGGGGTTGCCCCGGCCGGGCGCGGCGCCTGCAGCCGCGGGGGCTCCTCCGTGGCGCGCGCCGCAGAGCCGAGCATCCCCGGGCTGGCACATTCTCTCCGGGCGGCGGCGCCCCACTTGGCCGCTGCCGAGCGCGCAGAGCCGGCGGAGGAGCGGGCGAGGAACATGGCGACAGGCGCCGGCGGGAAGCCCGGCTCTGCCCCGGCCGCCCTTCGGCCGGTGCTGCTGCTGCTGCTGCTGCTCGCGGGGCCCCTCCGGCCGGCCCCCCCCGCCGCCGCCTCCCCCTCTCCTCGGCGGAGCCTGCGGTTGCAGGGCGCCCTGACCCCGCGGCCCCAGGATCGGGGCTTCGCGCTGCTGCAGGCTCCGGATCCCCCCGGCCCCGGACAGCCCCCGCGGCGGAGAAGGAGCGCCCAGCCGTCCCCGCCGCCCCCGCCGCCGCCGGAGGAGCCGGTGAAGGTGTACGGCCAGGTGAGCGGTCCTCGGACGGGCAGCTCTGCTCTGCCGCGGCGCGACCCTCTTTGCTGCCCCCCCTCCCCTCTCCCCGAGTTGCTGGCCTCCGTCAGTCCCGGGTGTGCCAAGCGCAGAGGAGGGGGCTCCCCCCCTCCCCCGGGAAACGTCCTTGGATAGAGCCCCTTTGCCGCCACTCGCAGACTCCCCCTCCCCACTGTGGTCTTTGCGCCCGCGGGGGTTCGGTTTTTCGGGAGGAAGGGGGGGGAGAAAGAGCCCGACGACGCTTGCTGGAAGGCGAACCATAATTCAGGGGTCCCCTCTTCCCCCTCCCCTTGGTTGGGGCTTTAATTGAGGAGGGGGGCTTGGTTTGTCCTGCAGCCGCCGAGAAACGAGCTACCGGTACCTGCCTAGCCATGAAGCCGGCTACTTTATCTTTTGGGGGAGGGGATGTCAATCAGGGCGAAGTGCCTCGGGCTCCGTTGCAAGGGGAGGGGAGGAAGGGGAGGGGAGCAAATTAGAATTAGGTGGCAGGGATCGGGGGGGGGGGGGGCAGGGTGTGAATCTTCCCGCAGGCAGATATTTAAAGGTTAACATCCTTGGTGGAGGGTGCGGTGCAAAAGGAGCATCGCCAAGGTTGTTTAAGGCAGGGGTCCAGAGCGACTACCATGGACCAAGTGGAATGTTTGTTATCTTGCTTGCAGCCCTCTCGCCAAGGGCTGGGATAGCCTGGGATGCTGGGTTTCTCAGGGGAAGGCGGTCTGAAAAAAAAAAAAAAAATCACGCACATCGAGCCTGCTTTGCAGTTGGACTTCATGGTCTGTTGCAAGAAGAACTGGAAATTCCAGTTTTTATGGCACTCATTTGTCAGCTGTTTGCAAACCATTCCTATCAGACTGTCATTTTCTTGGTGTAACCTGCAGCTGTCCAGGTTTGAGTCCCAAAGATGCTTCCCCCCCCCCCCCAAGGGCAACTGGACTTCCTTGGTTTTTGCTTTGAAAATGTTCTGCTTCTCATCCAAGAAGCTCCTTCGGTTCTGATATTCCCCATCAGGCAGCTAGAACTGAAGAAGCTTCTTAGATGAGAAGCGAAACATTTTCAAAGGAAAAAAACAAACAAAACAAAGCCCTCTTGGTTTTGGAAAGCCATCCGTGATCTGGATGACCTAAAATCTCCATAGGCACGGAGGGTGCCTGTGTTTCCATCAACCGTGGCAAACAATATGGGGAGCTGGGTGCCCACTGAACTTCAACGCTGACATAGCTTTTGGATCTTCCTCATCTAGGAAGGATGAAATACACAATTGTCCTCGGGTGTGCGTAGCTGGAATTCCTTGTGCAAGAACCGTAGGGGTGTCCTCTCAGAACTTCTCCATCTCCTAATTAGACAAGCTCGTTTGCCTTTTTTGTGATGTCAGTCTACGTTGTCTCTGTTGATCCCATGAGACACCTCAAGTTCCAACCTTCTCCTTTTTCTCCATGACATAATAGCTGATGTGAGATTAAAGGGGAACTGTCTTTAAATTTAAGGAAGGCCTCTGAAAGAATAAGAAGTTGTGAGGAAACGCAGTTCCCTGCTGAAATGAAAGAGTTACTCGCATTTCTAATCGGCAGCCGGAAGTATTGTCAGAAATGGCAACCACTATTTTTAAGAAAGATGGAAGAGAGTGTGAAGAGCACAATAGACCTTCTGTTTGCTTAAAGGTGCTCATGAGGTTCCTACGAGGTAATCCAGATTAAGACCCAGATTAAGACGATTTCTATCCCCTGGGCCTAGCCCCAGTCAACAAACATTGCCTTCTTTTTTAACCACAAGCCATAAATCTTGTCAGTTCAACAATGGTTTGTTATTTTGGCATCATGTTTGTAGGCTAACGAAGGGAGCAAAACTGACCAAGAAGACACCAGGTTAAGCAATGGTCTTCAGAATGCCCAAATATTCATTAGCTGGAAAAGCCGATGATTTAAGTGTAAAATCAAGTCTTCCTGGATGTCTAAACTCCATTAAACCAACCCAAAACTTCTGGATCCCAGAATTTTACTGGCTGGGCACTGGCTTTCCATGGCTGCATTTCTCTTTTCCCCCCCAATTCCTTTGTTCTTCCTGTTTCCCCCCCCCCCCAAGGACCCCAAAGATGTGTGAAAATCTGGATCATTCAGTGCTTCCCTCTGGATCCTTTTGGTGTGTTTTTTCAAATGCTTGAGACCTGCTTCCTAGAATAAAGTCTGAGCCTTCCTGTCTTATAGCAAAATGAAGTCTTAGAAACCCACTGCAGAACTAGACAGCTTTTCCCAGGCCAAGATAATGCATAAATGTAATGGGGAGGGGGGGGGGCAAGAACAGGCCTTTAACCTGATAGAAAGCCTTTCCCCCACTTTATGATGGGACAGTGACTAGGAAGGAAAAATTAGATTTCCCCCCCCCCAAAAAAATAGACCTCCTTATGTACAAGTAGTCCTCGGCTTACGACCACAATGGAGCCCCAACTTTCTCTTGCTAAGCGAGACAGCTGTTAAGTGAGTTTTGCCCCATTTTACGACCTTTCTTGCCACAGTCGTTAAGGGAATCACTGCATTTGTTAAGCTAGCAACGTGGTTGTTAAGCGAATATGGCCTCCCCCCTTGACTTTGCTTGTCAGAAGGTCGCAAAAGGGGATCACGTGACCCTGGGACACTGCGACCGTCATAAATGTGAGTCAGTCGCCAAACGTCTGAATTTGGATCACCTGACCCCGGGGAGGCTGCAACGGTCGTAGGGGCGAAAAATAGCCCAAAGTCACTTTTTTCAGTGCTGTTGTAACTTTGAACGGTCACTAAATGAATGCTTGTAAGCTGAGGACCACCTCTATGCCCATCCTAACTTTGTCATCATTCCGATTTCAGAGCATTAAAAAATCCCTCCGTCCCCCCCCCCCAAGGCTTCTGTAGTCTAGCATTTGGTTGTCCCCCATAGCAGCCAACTGGATGCCTTTGAAACTCAGCCAGAAACCAATGTCAACATGTTGATGTCCCATGACATACTAGAGGTAATATCAATCTTCACATCGATACATGCACTTTTAATTTTAATAACGTCTGTGCTGGCTAGAAATTATAATTCAGTATCTCAGGTTGGATCAAGTTGACCTTGGCCAACACAGTTTCAGCCTGTTCAGTTCTTTCTGCTAGGGTGTCTCTGTTTTCATCATTCCAAGAGAACAATAAATAATAAGATATGGGCCACCAGAGATGGCTGGAGAATATCGTTAGGCAAGTGAGTGGCTCGCTGTTTTTGCTCAGCTGCCTGTTCAAAATGAGTCTGGGTGGCCTCTTTTCAATCAGCAAAATTACACAGTTCATCTCTGCCATTTCTGTGTTTTTCAGGCAGAAAACTTTCCACAGCCAAGTTGTTCCTGGTTATCAATCGTGGGCTTGAATTTTTTTTTTTTTTAAAAAAAGCCTCAAAACCAAAGGTGTCCTTTGTAAGAAGAAAACAAATCTGAAATTCCCATTTGCAGTTTCATTATAATGCTCGGTCTTGTTATTCAAAACCTTCCAGCGGTAACTCTGTGTCAACAGCCTGTGTTGATAGCAGCTGTCTGCATGTTCAGGTGTTTGCTCCTTTGTGCTTTGAAAAGGGAGAATTTTGCAAATTGAGGACAAGTGATTTTTCTGAAACCCACGTTGGTCATTAGAAAAGAATTCATAGCTAATTGCTTGCTTCTCTGTCATTGCAAGGTTCCTATGACCTTTCAGATACTGTAAAAAACAATGCACGGGATTCTTAGCAAACTCATGGGTCCTGGAGCTGTCAATATGCACTCTTTTTATTCAGGTGCATTTCTCTCCTAGGAATGTGTCCTTCATAGGAAATATAATAGTTTCAGAACTTCCCTTAATAGACCCTTGACTTTCCTTGTCCAGTAAAGCATGTTTTCTATCAGAAGAGAATATTTGTAGCTATGGATCGAACTGAGGGATCCTTGGTGCTCTCCAAGCTTGGTGCTTTTCTTGCAGTTGAATATAGTAGTAGTAGTAGTAGTAGTAGTAGTACTACTACTACTACTACTACTACTACTACTACTACTAATAATAATAATAATAATAATAATAATAATAATAATAATAATAATGTGGTAGTGCCTGGAGACAGCAAAATAGATGAGAAAGAACTGGAGAAGATAACAAAATACAAAGACCTACAAATAGAAATAGAAAGACTGTGGCAAAAGCAAGCAAGGGTAGTACCAATAGTCATAGGCTCCTTGGGTGCAATCCCAAAACAACTGGAGCACCACTTGAACACCATTGGCATTGACAAATTCGCTATTAGTCAATTGCAAAAGGCGGCCTTACTAGGAACTGCTTCCATCCTGCGACGATATCTGTAATACCATCAAACATCCACATCTGCCTATGCCAGGTCCTGGGGTAAGGACTCGATAGGTAGAGAAAATGCCAAATCCAGTCTGAACATCTGGCTGACTGTGCAATGATCAATAATAATAAAAAAGTTAGAAGGGCCCTTGGAGGTCATCTATCCAACTCCTTGCTCAGGCAAGAAACCCTACACCATTTCGGACAAATGGCTGTCCAGTCTCTTCTTAAAAACTTCCAGTGTTGGAGCATTCACAGCTTCTAGAGGCAGGTTGTTGCACTGGTTAATTGTTCTCACTGTCAGGAAGTTTCTCCTTAGTTCCAGGTTGCTTCTCTCCTTGATTAGTTTCCATCTGTTGCTTCTTGTCCTGCCTTCAAGTGCTGTGGAGAATAGCTTGACTCCTTCTAATATCTAATGAATATTGTCCAAGCTCCTTAAGAAATCTCTTCAGCTGAGGAATATGTACAAGAAACGGGCAAAAAATGTCAAGCATATTGTGAGGCATGAAAAAAAAAAAAGAGCTACGGCTTTGCTTTGTACCGCTGTCTTGATTTTATGGGGGCTAGCACTGATAATGGTATCTAGTTAGGTAATGAAAGGTCTTCAAGAAAACAACCAAGCTTGGAGAGCATGAGAACCCCACCTGTTTTGCATATTGCCATTGG